TGAGGCGAAAAGCAGGCCTGCCCGCAGCTCCATTCTACATGGATATAAGGTACAGAATGATTGGATACAACATTTAGCATTTTGGGTCAGTTTTAGGCCATAGCTATTTGTTCCTTCTATTTCCCAGAAATATCATAAAAACCCCAAACCCTGTCCTGGAAAGTCCCCAAGCCCTATCATGGGCACTAGGTGTTTCCTGGAAGGCTGGTGGTGCAGGGTACTGTGGTCAGGGTGCAAGTGGCAGTCAGGGCTGTTTTGCAAGTTTTGTACTTTTCCACTGAGGATTGTCATCCACCTAGGGCATATGCTTAAAGCAGTTGCAAGCAGGCTTTTTGAGTTGGGGTCTTACAGCTCGAGATAACCGAGGGCATCTGCAAACATCTACCACAAAGTCAACTTCTGTTTACACAACAGGACGTGAGTTGACCCAAGCCCAAAGCTGTAATTTGGTGAGTTTTGCATTTATCAACTCCTAACTGACATAGCTGGTGTCTTCACTGTGGGAGCACTCTCGGGATGCATCCAAGTGCCAGTCAGTCATGGTGCCAGTATCTAAATACTCTTGTCTGTTAAAATTTATTCATGGTCAAACTGGCAAATCTCTAAGTGACCCCACCACCCACAACATTGCAACAATTCCTACCCCCTTCTTATAAAATGGAAGAAAAAGGATCAGCCCTTATTGGCTCAGGCAAAGGAGTTGACCCATAGTTACCCTTCAAGGTTAGGAGGAGAAAGGACTTCAAGACCAGGGTTGGGCCTTGAACTGGGAGATCATTAGAAAGAACACTGGAATTTACAAAGGCTCAACATGACCTTCAGAGAGAGGAGAGGCTTCCTTAAAAGCCTGGAGACAGACCTCATCTGGATTGAGAATAAAGGGCTGGAGAGATGGCTCAGCCGAGAAGAGCTCTTGCCAACAATCAGAGTTCAGATCCCAGCACCCACATCAGAGGCTCACAACCATCTGTGACTCAGCTCCAGGGGACATAATGCCCTCTTGGTGCCCTTGTGGGCACCTACATACATGTAGCCAACATAAATACATCATTGCACACACACATACATAAACACACAAAACTTCAAAGTAAATATAATTTACAATACTTTCTTTTTATTCTTTGTGTGTATGCACAAACCCAATTATTGGAATCCTGGAGTTGGAGTTACAGGCAGGTGTAAGCTGTCTGAACAAGATATGTACTCTTTTTTTTAATTTTCAAAACAGGGTTTCTCTGTGACCTGGAACTCACTCTGGAGACCACTATCTGGAACCTGGAGATCTGCCTGCCTCTATCTCCCAAGAGCTGGGATTAAAGTCATGTGCCACCACCACTCAGCAGGTTGCATCTTTATTCTGGCCCAGTGAGAGAGTGGCAAATGGTGGGGCCTGATTTCATGAGGCTGTGAGTTCTGGTTGCCCCACATTATGGTCTACCACCTTCAAGTTCCCAGTGACAAACCCAATTAACTCCCACAAGATTCAACCTGGGGAGTCCAT